ATTTATTTTTATTTAATATTTCATATTCTTACTTCTTATTAATTTATTAAGTATTAAGTAAGTGCTTGTAATCAGAACAACAGACTGCGCTCAGTGCACAACAGTGCCGCAAGGCTCTTCTCACATTGCGTTGCTGCCAACCCACCCTTCAGTTCAGCACCACTCTCTCTCGCTCTCTCTCTTTCATGCACACACACACGCACACACTCGCAGTCGTATGTACATCGACGTTTCGGGTTTCGGCACAGCCCAATCATTGCGATATGCGACTCTATATGACACGGGCACGGGCCGGCGTTGAGCACAGTCGTTGATTAGCGCTCGTCGCGTCGAGTTTGCAGTCGCAGTCTGAGTCAGAGAATATCGAACGCGCGCTTTGACGCTCCAGCGGAAACGAATCGTACGCATACGTCAAAGTGTTGTAATCTGTGTTTCGTTGGTAAAATACAAAGAAGAACAAGTATTAAGCAAATCCAATAACAACTATAATCAAATAAAAGCTCGTAGCATAAGTGTTAGTTAGTCGCGCGCGCAGACAAAGCATGTCCAGCGCCCAAGTGTCACAGCCGCCGCCGCCCACCACGCAGCAGCCGTCGCCTCAGCAGCAGCCGCAGCAGCAACATACGCCCCACATTAGCCAGCTGCTTATTAGCCACATAGCCGCCGCACAGCAACGTGCAACCACAACACCACCCGCCGCCGCTGCCGTCGTCGTCGATTACGATCAGTGCAGCAACCATTCGTCGCCCAGATCAAGCCGCAGCCGCAGTCCAGCGACCGCTGCAGCTGCATCCAGCCCTACGCACTCCTCGGCCACGACAGGTAGCCCCCACAGCGCCTACGCACCCACACATAGCCCAGCGGCGGCACAAGACAGCGCAGCGGAACAGCAACAACAACAACAACAGCAGCAGCAGCAATCTCAACTTCCCGCTGCTGCACCTGCCATGCCGCTGCTAGTGGCACCTATTCCCATGGCCTGCCAGGGCATTGGACCACCTCCGACCCATCATCCGCACGCACATGCACCACATCCGCGTCTCTATGTCGAAGGCGGCTTCCCACCACATCATGTTCCACATCCCGCCTTGGTCAACGGCGCCTACCCGCTGCCCCGTCTGCCCCTAGCTGCAGTTATGATGCCCGCGAATGCACCAGCTCCAGCCGCAACACAATTGCCGCCGGCACCGCCCATTCCCATAGCCAGCTGCTCTCCGCCCGAAACTACGGCGCTGCAGCAGGCTCAGCCCAAGAAATCCTTCTGCATCGATGCGCTGCTCGCCAAGAATCAGCACCAAGGTGCAGAACGACCGCCTCCGACAGCAGCCGATATGATTGCGGACGAGCATCGTTTGGCGGCGTTGCACTATGCTCGGGATCAGGCGGAACTGAATCATGCCTTTGTGGCAGCATCGAATGCAGCTGCGGCAGCCGCTGCCGCCGGCATCAGCGAGCAGGAGGCGCTGCAGCGAATACGCGAGTCGCGGGAATATGATTCACCCAGTCCCGACGGCATGTCCAGGTGGGTTTAAGTTTATATTTTTTATGAAATATTTAAATTGGTTAAAAATTTTTGGTGAACTTGAATATTGAATAGAAATTGCGACTCTATTATCTATTAACTAATAGATAATAGATTAGCCATACAGCTGAGTTGGGTAGACTTCCACTTGAATTGCCTTATAGACTATAAAATTTAAACATCTCTTGAGTAAAATTATTATAAATTACTCTTGACTTACATATCTTCATCTAAATCCTTAAGCAACGCCTATGTCTACCTTTACTTCTACAATTCCCTTTACCCCTTACCACTACCTCAACCAATATGTTATTCAAATCAATTGCCGATTCAGTCAAATTCACCTTTAAGCCAAAAGGCCGTCCAGGTGTTTCTGACAGCTGGCGGACAAATCCAACAAAATGCCAGCAGCGAATGCTAACAATGCTTTTGGGCTTTAAAGCGGCTTTGTTAGCACTCGACAACATGGCCGAAAAGCCAAATCGAGCTGGTCACGTTGGCTTCATTATGATTGCGATTACGTATACGCCGTGTGCGGGTGTCTGTGTGCATGTGTGTGTATGTGTGTGGCAGAGTAAACAATTTATTTATATTTTTTTTAATTGTCGCGTAACTTGTTTATTGAAGAGCTTTGATAATTGTGCAGCAGTTTACAGGGTGTCTAAGCATTGAACTCTATTTGTTTCCCATTGCAGATCTGAATCTCCCAGCTCATCGCATCGCTCCAGTCCGCCCATCAGTCCCGGCTGCGAGGATCAGCAGCCCCAGCCCGCGCACCACACACACCACTTGGGCATGCGTATGTCCGAGCTGCACGATGAGTTCAAGAAGCCCATCCCGCCGCACAGTCCCATCAGACCGCAGGACTTTCCACTCTATGCGGGCGGGCATCCGTATCAGCTGCTGGCACCTGGCGGCTCCGCTTTCCATCGGCCTCTCGATCCGTCCGGCAAGCCCATACCCGTAAGCATCATGAAAGCTCCATCTGCATTGACATTTTTGCTAACTAGAAGTCAACTTTGTTGTTGCTTCTTCTACTTCTTTTCCGACTGTAGATACCCATGGGTCACAATTTTATGCCCTCGCAGCTGCAGTTCGAGTTTCTGGCACGCGCTGGCATGTTGCATCATCGCATTCCAGAGCTGGCCGCCTATCCGCATCACGCGATACTGGGCAAGACGCGACGTCCACGAACCGCCTTCACCTCCCAGCAGCTGCTCGAGCTGGAGAAGCAGTTCAAGCAAAACAAATACCTGTCGCGGCCCAAACGCTTCGAGGTGGCCAGCGGCCTGATGCTGTCCGAGACGCAGGTGAAGATCTGGTTCCAGAATCGACGCATGAAATGGAAACGTTCCAAAAAGGCGCAGCAGGAGGCCAAGGAGCGAGCCAAGGCGCAGCAGCAGCAACAGCAGCAGCAGCAGAGCACAGCCAGCGCGAGCAGCTCGAGTTAGTTTCTCCTGAAGCCAGAGCAAAAGCATTTCTAGTCATTGGCATTGGAGCAACCGTCCACCTGGTGAGACACCCTGTATGCGAACAACCCAACAAACAACATGCAACACCAAAACAGAAAAATAAAAACATTTCATGAGATTGCGCAAAATTAGCTACGCAATTAGTTGAAATTATTTTGGTCATTGTTGTTGTTGTTGTTGTTGTTGTTTTGATTTCTGTTGTGGGAATTAACAACAACAGCAACAACAACAAAACGCACTGTGTGATATATGTAAACCAGAAATATATATATATCTATAAATATATATAAATTCAACACTGCTACATAAAAGTATTTGACAACCCTCCCACTGCTCCCCCTCCTGCTCCTCCTGCACACTGTACATACACAAAATAAACAATCTATCAATTAATTTAAATTACCTTACAAATAATATATACAAATAAACCTATATATAAATTAAATGAGATTAGTTTAGTTTAGTTTAGTTTGTATATGGTCACGATCTTATTTCTTATGTCATTGTGTGTAAATAATTGTAATTATGTAATTTTAAACAACAAACAAACGGCTCTAGCAAATTTTATTACATTTATTTTGAAAAATCGAAAATGAGAAAAATAAAATGTGCTTTAAAAATGTCAAGCTGAATTTCTTTATTATTATTGCGGAAGAGGTGTAAGGGAGAATTTTAATACATTGAGCTAAAGAAGCTTTAGAATATCTCGCTCTCTCCCTCTTTCTCTCTATAAATATTTTGAGAACTAGAATTCTGGTATTTTCGAAAGTTTCTCCGAAATATCAAATGTAATTTTTTGCTCTAAGAAATTTTTTTGGATTAAAAATCCTATAAAATTGTATATTCTATAAATAGTATTATTTATAGAAATAAATAACAGAACCCCTAGAAAGTTTAAAAATAAAAGTTCTTTCAGCTTATCTCTCCTCATCTAACTTTTCGAGAGATTATAACAATTTAATTCCATATAGAAAAATTTCGAATCTAATTATTTATATTTTCTAGAATACGAATTGTGCTAAAGCGTGCTCTTTCAGTTCAGATTTCTCACAAAAAACAAGACACTCAGTGGGTGCTTTATCTCTCGAAACTAAAGTATCTAATCACTTGGTTAGCATTTAGAGCTATCTATATATGTGACAAAAAAAAAAAAAAAAAAAAAAAACGAACGAAAAACTATTAAAGGTGTATTTATAAAAGTCATATAAAAAGCCAATCAGGTACAAAAGTTTTTAATTTCATGGCTGATATCACTTATCGAGGCAAATAAATCAAATACTCGTAGATAATCAATTTAATTGTTCAGACAATAATTATGTCTAAATTTATAATGTCACTTAAAAATTATTTCGCTAATTAAAATGTTGCCTGGAGCTAGCAGCAGCAGCAGCAACAGCAACAGCAGCAACAATCGAGCCCACTTATATAAAATAAAATCCAAAATCATGGTGAGCTTCCATTTCCGCAATCAGAATTCTCTGAGAATAAATAAACTAATAAATTGTTTGAGAAATATATAAAGTAAAATACTTCATCTGCCATCTTATCAGAGAGCTGGGAATGTATTAGGTTTTCAGTGATACGTGGCTTAATCGTAGCTAATGAAGCTAATAATCACGAAATTGTTTAGGCCACATACTTATATAGGGCGTAATACCCCAATCGACTAATCGGCCAGCAATCAGTGTTAATTGGAACAAAGTTCTCATTCTCAGTTGGCTCAGTTTGGCATTAGGTGTACTTTTGATTAAATGTTGGTATACATACATACATATGTATATATATATATGAATTTCAAAAATAACAATTCGTAATCGTCTATCGCTCCCTCTACAAATCCTTAGCAAACAGCTCATACAATTAGCTATATAGGATTATAATTGAAATGGGAAATAAAAGGAGATTGTGATTGGAACAAGACGAGGCCACTTCATCACGTAATACTCAGAGCGCGACCTTAGCTCATAAATAGACAGGAGAATGCTTAATAAGTGAGAGAGAGACAGAGACAGCATGCCTTGAAGTATGCTTTATATTGTTGTTATTATTGCTTGTTTGATATGCTCGCATTGTTGTTGTTGTTGTTGCTGTTGCTGTTGTTATTGTTATGCAGCAGTTCTTCTTGCTTGCTGATTATGCGTCTGATGGGCTAATAAAAATTCATTTCGTTATCCGTCAGACACTCGCACACACTTCACCCAAAGCAACGCAACGCACTACGTCAACATCAGCCAGAGAGGGTAGAGTGATAAAGAGAGAGAGAGAGAGAGAGAAAGATGTAGGCAAGACATTTCAATGAATGGATGAATTTTGGCTGATATTTGTCCTACGTTCAATGTGCTATACAGTGGTTGATTTAGTATAAGGCTAAACAAAGATCAATTATATAGAATTCAATTAAATTACAGAAAAGGTGTAGTTAAAATATATATCTTTAATACCGTTACTTTCGTTTCAAGAGTTGTATAGAAATTTCTATGAAAATCATCTCCTCTCTTTATTAATAATCTTCCAGCACATCCTGACATAATACAGCTAAATCACGTCAAAAAACTCTAACTCAAATTGAGATTGAATAACCAAAAGTCAGGCAGAAAAGGGACTCGCCTTAATTAATCGAATTTCCAAGTTCAACAACATTCTATGAACCATATAACATCGAGACTCGAGTAAGCCAATCAAATCTAGCTTGAACCACTGTGCAGTGGCCTGCGGTGTGCTGTGGTTGCTGATGCTGCGCTATTCAGTTCAGATGCCTTGAAGTGGCCAAGTGTGGAAGTTGAACCAGAATTGAGGCAACATCAGCAATAGCAGGAGCAGGAGCAGAAGCAGCAGGAGCACAAAGGATTTCCAGCTATATTGTGTGGAATGGCAACTGTCTAATTCAATTCATGAGCTATTAGCGGGTAATTTGTAACAATTGCAAGGGCAGAAATTTCCTTTTATCAACAGGCAGCCAAAGGGTGACAGAGTTCAAACCCCGAAAACCGGAGTCTGGGCATTCAGCTTCAGTTTGAGTTTGAGTTTCGGCAATTGCTTAATTGTCGGATGGATTTTTTTTTCTGATGCTCTCGCATCTGTTGCAAATTAAATTTCAGTTATAATTTTCTATAAACACGGGTCGCATCAGACAATAAACCAAAAAGAGAACGACTCTGTATGTGTGTGTGTGTGTGCACACCCAGCAAATTGCCATTTGAATTGAGGGTCGTCATCGTGCAGCGCCCCCCGCCTCGTCTCTTATGACTTTGTCAGCAGTTGTTGCTGGTGTTACAATTTGGTTACCCTAGGGGTGTCTGCCACATCGTTGTTGATCTTCATGTCAACACAGATGATCACATTTTATGCTTAATTTGTGTGCGTGTGTGTGTGTGTGTGTGTTGTTTACTGTGTTTACTTTTGTGATTTGAGCATTCATTGAATTTCTGCTAATATTCAAACGGCTTTGGCCAAATGCATTTTCCACATTTTCCGCCATTTCCATTCGATTTTATTGCCAAATATACGCGATTATTTGTCATATGCTGCATTTTATTATTGTCAAATTTGCATTCGGACGCACAACAATGAACATAACACTGATATGGCTCGTTAGTTAGTTGTCTAATGGCTGACTGTCCCAACAGATAGATAGGGGTTGCCCAACACCAAAGGGGCTGAGGGCGGTTTGGCATCAATTTACTGAAATTGATTTGACAATTTATGTAACATTTGTATTTCAAATTTTTGAGCGTTGCTTTATGAGCTAATTATAATTCAAATACTTGATTGGAATATGAAAATAAAAACAAAGTGAGAGCAGGAGAGGGAATTAAAATCTATGTCTAAATATCTCTATTTATAAAATATCGAAATTGTTTGTGAAGAAATCTTAAGTAAAGAGAATGAATTTAGTCGCAATACCCAATATCTTATAAAAATTAAAATTAAATAATATTCTCATAAATCTATGTGAAAAGTTCGTAGAATCTAGAGCTAGAGATGTAGTTTTTAATTTTTAACCGATTTTTGATAGTCTGCTTAAAAATATAAACATTTTTACAAATATTTGGAATTTATTAACAAAAAAAGTGCTATGATTAATATTTTTAAAATAATTTAT